GGGCGGAGAGATTCGATAAAATAAAGTTCTCAACGTGAAAAATAGAACTTGTCGTTCATTATTTATCTGACTTGTGCTATTCATTTCAAGCGAAAGTTGCGTCCGAATCACAGTACAATTTACTGAGCACGTCTGTGTTAACAAATAGACCTGAGCACGATGAAACAGGCATTAGTTCAGAACGAGATTATGATCTCAAAGACCCTCACCGCCAGGCACTTTCTACAAAATCGCAATTTTAAGATTTTTAGTTGCTTCGTTTTTCTTCTTCTTCTTCTTCTTCTTCTTCTTCTTCTTCTTCTTCTTCTTTTCTTGTTGCTTTCAGGTTGTTTCAGCTTTTTTTAAATTGCACCATATGGACACAATTGGGATCATTTGGTAGGTACCGGTGGGGGTAAAAAAATCAGAGAAGCTTCTCCCCTATTTAAGGCCATGTCAAGACAGAGTACCTGCCTCCCAATGCCCAAGGTAAGGTCAAGGACAAGTCATGGCAAGAAACACCAAGGAGTGTCAGAACAGTACAGAGTACAGAAAACCACGAGCCCATCGTAAACCCATCGATTGGAACTCTTCTCAAAATAAAAGCTTCATTCACACTTTCTTTCTTTAAGCTTTGTGATCCATCATCCAAACTTCCATGTATCGACCCGAACCTACATTCAAGCACAGGTTACGCTTCAGTAAGCGCCTCATCCGTTTGAAAACACTGACTTGATCACTGTCGCGGCGACTTATTGGGTCGGCCGGGTCCATTCAGGGGAGATTTTAAAACAGCATCATTTAAAAGAGTCACTGAGTAGATGTTTACAACAAGTCAGAATGATGACGGCCAAATATCGCCAAGATGAGTACAGGATAATACATTATGTTTGTTAAACAATACAGAAAAAAGGCAAAAACAGGATCAAAACAAGTACAGCAATGTGAGCTTCTTCCCTTTAGTTTAGTTTTAGTAGAGATTTTACGGCGCTCGCAACTGCATAAGGTCATATGAGCGCCAGAAGATTAGATGCGTTACAAGAGAGTAACAAACATAAAAAGAAGAAGGGGAGATAAGGACGATAGAATATGTTTGATAGGAAAGAAGAAGCAAACCACACCAGAGCACCCGCCAACCGCCCACCTTCTTCCCTTTGGTTGACTTTAAAAGTTTTAATGTTGGTGCTTTTTCGTCCTTATCAACAGACTTTAGATCACTTTGGTCGTGGGCTTCGATCCCGTTTGTTAGGGCAACCCCAGGTGGAGCGTGCTACACATTTCCAGCAGAAAAACCGAGATACTCGATATAAATTCGCCCCGCACGGAAATCGAACTTGGGTCTTCTGCATGTGACAGCAAAGCGCCTAACCGCTACACCACAGACGCCAGTTTTTACGGCTCCAAGGACTACGTTATGGCGTAGGGGCCTACGCCGAGACACAAATCTCCTGTGATAGTCTCACTGAAGTCCTAGCATCTCGCTTGCAAAGAAACCCGAAACTACTTTAAAGGAAATATCCATTACATGTAAGTTGCTATGACTACTTTCAATGGTTAAGCGTCATTAAAATATCATTTCCTAAGTGTCATTGTCATGGGCAGAACGGATATACAGGCCGTAAGTCACATGTTTAACATAATTTATTAATTTCCATGGTAAATGCATATTATTATGACGTCCCTTTTGGTGAAAAAGCTTATCTCCCCTGCTCCCCCCCCCCTT